GTTCACATCACACAGGCGTACAGCCATCACCTTCTCCAGCTCAGTACGTTTCGCCCTAGTACCGAGGGAGAGAATGTTAAATTTACGCCGATTCAGGGCGAAAGTTCAATACATAGCTTTACTAAAACATATATATAGTTTGCTGCGCACCAGTTTGTGATAAGTGCCACACTCAGCTCCACGCACTTCACGCATATCACGCAGACGTACGATAACATAGTCGAGCAGGTGATCGTGACCACTCCGTGCGTGCGTCCAAATTGCATTGTCACTCGCGCTCAGTGCAAACCGAGTGTTCGTGATCGTCAGGCCGTGAGTGGCATACAGTGAGAGCAGCCTGTCACCGTTCGCATTCGCTGAACCAATGCCATGCGGACCGATAACATCTGTCCACACCGATTCATCACGCCCAACGCGCGCGTTGAAATCACCCAGCAGAAATAGTCGGTCGCTCCTCGGCACAGACCGTATCACGGAGGATAACTGAGTGTAGAATTGATCACGCGTGTCATCAGGATAACACATGGCAAACTTACCTCTTCCGAGTCGTAGGCGAACAGTCATCAGTCGCGTGCTGATGCCATTTGGTTCACCCACCAGCTCGCCCTTGGAGGCGATCGCATATTACAAATCCGACCCCATGATCACGTGGTGCTAAGGCGGAGTTGCCCACCCAGCAGAATGGGTAGCCAGCACCTGCTTCATACAACTTACGTTGCTCAGCGAGCCGAGTTTTACTGAGCGTCGCAATATCGATGTGGTAGCGCGCCAACTCCATCGCGACCAGTGCAGTGCGTCGCTCCGGGCACTCACTAGAGTTCCGGTCCAGTAGTGTGCACACGTTCCAGCATCCGATGCTGAGTGCTTTGCGCGCAGGCATACGATTGCATTGGTGGGCAATCGCACGCGAGGTGTTCGTTGTGCGTCGGAGATTTGCTTGAGGGACTCCACCCTGAGCTTTTGACTCAATAGCCTGATCCACAAGGCAGTGGGGAGGAATTCCAGCTCGGGCACGTGATTACAAGCACAGATTGGGATCTGCTTGACGACTGTCACACGAAGCTTTTGCGGTACTGGAACGATTTATATATGTTTTGCTACCGTAGTAGGATACGCACCTGCGACCATGGCCAGACGCAGGTGGGTTTTGGCTGGTTTGCACCAATTTGACCAGGGGCTGCCTGGCTTGAGGCGGGCAGTAGCAAACCATTGAACACCCGGAGGTGCCCTCCCACCGTCAGAGACAATGCGTGGCACTCGTGCTCTACGCCAATCGAGCTGTGAGCTTATAACCCGTAGACCTGTTGTCTCCCATGGCTACGTTTTACGGGAAGAGGGCCATCGACCACTTCCTAACCTCCGAAGAGGATGTACTAAGATACTGGCTGGGCGATCACACCTGACAAGAGAACGACTCGGGTGCTCAGCCAAAGCCTACGATTAAATGTACACTAGAAAGGCAGCGGATCTAGCACATGGTCAGTTCACTGGCTCATGCGGTTTGGTGTCCTGTAGTAGGGTGTAACCCAACTCCCACCCAGCGGTCGCCACGAGGAGGCGTCCAGGACATGAGCTAGTAGCACAACGGTAGCAGCAGTGGGTAGACCATATGTCAGGATCTAGCCACCACCAGCCTCAGTGTACCATACGCTCTCCCGCCAAACTGATATATATATATATATATATATATATATATATATGCTGGTAATACACCGGGCGCACTCTCAGGTAACATTGTTCACCTGATCGGAGTATGGTCACTGCAAAACGAACGTTGACGAATTGCCAAATGATGAGCCACTTTTTTTGCATTATGTACCCTAAAAAGAACTGCTCAAAAATTATGCATTCATTTTAAGGTGTATTGGAGAAGAAATGGTCGAAGCGAATCTACTCATTAGGTAAGCAGCTGCATTGTGTTCGGCATCGAATTTCCTCGGATTGGCTTTACTCTAAAATGTGCCAGATGGCTGTTTCACTAGCATTCCTATTCTTAGCTTGACTTATAGGTCCCGTGTGTAACAGACTGTTATCCCTAACAACATCTATCGAGTGCCTAGTGGCAATAGCTGTCTACATGCGTCTCCGGATTTGTCTACCACCGTGATTGCGAATTAACGCTGGTCACATGCGTTCTATGGACCATGGGTGACTTTTGCTGCGCCACCCCTACACTCCATGTCCGTTGTGAACCTCAAGTAGTATGAATGAGAGACATGTAGATGGGAGCCACGTTTCATCAACGGGGCCGGCCCACACTCCTTAACCTGCGCATCACTCATTTGAACAGGGGAATCATGCGCACCAGACGTAAACATGATGGTCTTTGGATCGTAGCCTGGGTGGAATCGCTCCTTGGGTCTATATCTAATTCAACAACTGCGTTAAGCAAGCAGCACATTCTCATTATGGAAATTTGGCCTAGCTGCAGCGACGATGCAGACGCGATCCACCTTTGTTTGCAGTTTCGTGACGACTCGTAAATGATGCGCTTACTCCAACGCGGCTAATTGTTGCCGCCTCCAGCATTACTCATTAATCATCTTACCATTTTGAGTGTGCTATCGCGTGGTTTTTTCATTTTTGACGAATTATATGTCTTACTTCGGAATCCAACTTAGCCGTCGCGTTGTTTACCAGCTTGCAGCATTTTTGCAATCGGGTCACGTCTTGTGAATAGACATTTCGCGCCAGTATAGATCGATTGAAACGAGTGTCACGTGGATGACCTCGTCGTCTCTATACGCAGCGATCGGTAAACACTCGGACTTAGTGCTGTATTAGAGCCACTGAATAACAATTTGACCGGGCTAATGGTTGATGAGACGGCCTCTCCCAACTCACTGTGCCCTTGCGACGCACACCCGTGCCATGTGACTAGCATCGATTTTTGAATGTGGGTGCATCCATGTGACCACGGCGAACACGGGAATTGGTGTTTGTCACCACCCTTCGCCCCTTCCAACAGCTCTCTGTCACATGTTGAAACGGCGAAACGGTTGAAGTAATTAGCAGGCTTTTCTTTCGTTGACAGGATCAGGAATTAGTAGGGAAATATTTCGATTGAAGTGTGCCTTGTCCCTGTAAATCCGGGGATCTGACGTGTTTTCCTCGAGGCATGACCATTTAAACATTAACATCAGCGATCCGTGAGGAGAGTACCGATTTCAAACAGGTCATTTCCTTCTACTTGCTCTTCCCTGCATCCCACCACATTCGCGTGGTATCCCCTTTGGCTATGCCTTGACAACCACCAATCTGGTGATTTCAGAACCTTGCTCTAATGTCTCCCGAGGGCTCAGAGCATTTCTGTTGCGAACCCTTCGGTCGAATATGACTTGTGTAGTGCTTCAGCTGGAATATGGAAATACTTAGGTATCTGGAACTGGCAGCCAACAAATCGAATTCTTCAGAAGAAATTTCGCACAATTTTATTATCGAGCTTTTGCGCACTACTTCTCCCTTTGTTCGCTTTACTTACAACCTAGCCCTAAGCTATTGATTTAAATGTTCAAACAACTTAGAAATCACTTTCCCAGCTCCATTTGTGGCCTACAACCCAAAATATCTGTTATACAAACGTTTTTGTCTGATGAGAGTATACGAGGAAAAATCTTAACCATTGCTAATTTCGTTTTTTGTCACTGAAATGGGTATCATTGTTCTGCCAAAGATCAGCGTTGCCGGTGATTCGCTCAAATTCATCCTATTGTCGAATACACTATTCAAGTTAGGCGGGTACCGTAAATAATCTTCACATTGTTTTGGTGCTTTCTCAAAGTCAGGCCACCAATTTTACTTTGGGAATTCGCCATATTCCATACGACTTAGGAGTTTTAAGCGTATATTGTCACCTGTTATCCGATGACCTGTTAATGGTTTATCGGATCTTGTACACTACAGATCATATGTACTGTTCTTTGCTGGGCTCCAGAATTAGCTTCAATTAGCGAATACAAACCTTGAAACTGATTCGGTCGATCGGCTTATTCTGTGACGCTGGTTACTATAGATTTCTGTCCCCGAAAATTAAATCATTATAGCTCAGACAGCTAAGAGGCTTTAGACAAACTTTTTTTCACCTATCGTTATCAGTAGCAATGTGAACATTGGTGGAGTACGACTGTGACGAGCCTCAGAAAATTTAACCGAAAACTCTCTCTCCGTTACACCCTGTCAGCGAATTGTTTTTGGGCGCATTGGGCTAGTTTCATTCGGTTTGTTTCGAGTAGACCATGGAAACAAAGGAAGCTAGGATTACTGCGAGGTCCCAAACAGTAAACCTGGTTCTACCTACTGACCAGTGTGTGTTTGCCTTTCGAGAAAACTGCTGGTCTATGTGAACACTGTTTGAAGGGGGTTGGGATGCTGGGCACTTTCACATTGAGCCCATTTTTCTCGTATTCCTTTATTCGGGAAGTCAGAGTCCTATTGGCTGCTTCTGCATAATAACAGAAACACGCCTAGCGGCTGAGCTCTTTACATACTAGTTTAGATTCAGATGCTTGATGCATAACAACTGAAAAAGACAAAAAAAGGAAAAAATATCGTGTGCGAAATAACGAAAAACACTCAGTTTTTCTTTTATTGCGATACAATAGCTGAAGTGTGTTGCTTACCCCTAGCTAATGTGTCATGATGATGATGCGGTGACCAAACCTGTCTTCCAATGATTCCCATGGTTTTGTTGGACTTTAAGTCTATTCAATAGACTGTTGCTACTACGACGACTACTGCTGCTAAGCTGCCTTTTCCAATTTTCATCTTGAACTTTCTTGGTCACACGCAAAGTTAGGTACGCATTATCCTATCAGTTTTTGTTGCTATTATTATTCTCATTAGTTTTACGTCACTACCGCTTTTGTTGCCGTTTTTGTCTATGCAACTTCTAGTGCGAGAAGCTCTGTACATGTATGAACTGATCACGGCAACACTGGTGTTTTCGTTTCTACCCCGCATGATCATTCCGATGAATTCTACTCCTCCTCCCCTCTACACAGCTGTCTGGTCGAGGTCGTACGGCAACACGAATTTGAGATAGCCCTCGTCCGACTCACACGTGAGCTGCGCGAGAATCGCTCCGACGAAACAAACAGACGACGTGGATTTGTCAGGCATTTGCGTGAGTGGGTCTGTGTGCATGCATCTCTCGTTTACCTCGTCGTCATTTTCATCGTTTGCGTACTCTTGGAACGTGTCACGTGCTCTGACCTCGTTTGCTGACATTCAACTACACCTTTTCCGAATGGATTGCATCCATAGTGCAAGTGGATTGCTCCATAAGGCTTTGCTTTGCATCCACAAGGCAATTGAACATCGTCTTTAAGGCATCTGAATTGCACCCGGGATCCTTCCGCCGCACTATACGCGCGCAGCATCCTTAGAATTGAGTTGGTCCAAATCTGCCAATGACGGGACATAGTGACCATTACATAGAGGTATGAATTGGTGGTATCTAGTGGAGACGCTTGGGCGTTCTACCCTCCATTCAACTACGAGTGCTTACAATGAAGCTAGTTCCACGCCGCTTAGGGGCACAAGGTTGTCCAAACACGTGCTGCGACTGGGTGGCGGGTCCAGTAATTGAACTACCAGGTGTGCCTTGCGAACGTCACCAGTGGGGGGGGGGGCTGCGAACGCGGTAATGCGACACCCCATCATCCACCTTATGGCCAGTTAAGCACTGTCGGAGCCCTAGGTTTTGGATGACCTAACAACATTCGGGGAATCGACGGCACTGTGTCCGGATAACAGGTGCATGGCTGCGAATGATTGGGGGCGGTAGTGCCAAAGCGTTACGACAGGCTTGCGAGTAAAGCGACCTTGCTCAACCGAAATCCAGGTTGGAAGGTGGCCATCTTGGGTTATTGAGCGACGGTCTGCTGAGAGGGCTAATGTCGAAATACGACTGCGGAATTTTGTTACAAACCGAGTAGGCACTGCTTTGTTACAGCAAGCATCACTTACCGTCATGGTGGATACACTACACCGAATTGATGCTCCATTCCTACGGTAGTTGTACCTATAAAGCCCATTATTACGCGAGGTGGGTAACGCTCAAATCCCTAGCTAATGGCCTGTGAACACGTAGTCCACAATCATAGATGGCAGTGCAACGATAGATAACGGATCAAATGGATGACGCTTGACATGTTCCGTTGGATGGCCGTAATGAAGAGAGGAAGATTAATTAATGAACGTACCAATGAAATGGACTGTGACTTGGTGATTTAGCAGAGATGTTTGCATGTTAGCTGGTATACATTCATTTAGTTGCAACTAACCCCTCACCATAACTTACATTCTCGGCACGAAGCGCGAAATTTGCGAACATAATTTTATACATGAAATCCCCCTTATAATTCCAAAAAGAACACCAGAAAACGAAGGTTCCGGGATGACATTGTTAGGACGACCTACCGACGTTCGGATAGGTTCGGTGTATCCTGATATCAAGACATTCACAAGTGTATGCATGCGAATGTTCCTGACCTGTGAGGCCTGTTATGGCGTGCTTGTGAGTAAAAAGTGACAAATGGATCTGCGCAACTTGTCACTGAACTGTGGGTTGACAGGTGGCCCCCTTGGGTAAAAGTGAAATGTTTTGAGCGTCGCTCCACTGAGAGCTCGAATACCGAAATTCGACTGCGGAAATTTTTTTAAGTTGTGTAGCCACTCCTTTGTTACAACAGGCCTCACTTACTGTCAGGCCATTATTGAGCTGATGTAAGTAGCAACTTTTAAGACGACAGAATTTCTCCCTGATGAACACCAAACTTGATGCTTAGTGCGTAGCAGCATTTGCCACTGACTTGTGTACTCCGAGTGCTTCCAGTAAAATAATTTCTCAGCAATTGAATGGTAGAGGGATGCATTCCTTGCATGAGTTGAATTTTTGGTGGCATTTCGCGGTTTACACAGCAGAACATGTTGTTATACTCAAGATAACACCGAGTTGATCTGTTTCAGTTGTCAAACGATGACAGTATAGAAAGTACGAGGCAGGCCACTACATCAACCAATTCAATTCATTGGCTTGATTGATGGGGTGACCACTGTCGTAAGCCGAAGCCTAGCGGTGAGGTTGAATCCATAGGCACGCATATGTACACGAAACCTTCACGTGTCCTCCATTACGAAGCCTGCGCAGAAGAGTATATATGTAAAGCAGCCGGATGACTTACAGACTGCTGTACTCAGAATGGTAAAAGGAAACCGTCGTACATTCCACACGGAAGAGGTGAAGAGCAGAATACTGAAGACTTATGAGCAGGGAGAAAAATGGGAGCAACTTTTTCGGGTTAAGGTTCAGTAACGAGAGTAGTCACCATATCAATCAAGCCAATGGATTGAACCACAATGACGACTGATATAAAGCTAGGCCACACCTCGTGTAGCAACAATTGCCACTCCCATGCACGGGAGATTTTCATCTCAACCGTGTGTTTCGTCGATCCAAACCAGACTCTCCTACCCTAACTGTCGAACCCGTCCGATGTTCATCAACATGAAGACACCTGCAACCTTACCTGTCCCTATTCTCATCTCTCTGTTAACGCAGATGTTATTTCCGGCGACAGTATGATTCCTGACCATAAGTGTAAGTGCGGCTCAGGGTTGATACATTGACACCACATCCATGTTCCAAACATGTGAGTACAATGAGAGTACTATACCGTGTGACGTCAAATGTACCGGTTGGCACTGAACTTGTGACGCAACGAGACGATGCACCTTTCCTTGTGGATACAGACACATTAGGGTAGACACTCTACCTGAAGCACGCTTGCAAGTTGTGCAGCTTGAGGGATACGACGACACCGAGATGGGCACACGACTGCACATGTTCGGTGTATTCGGATACCAACGCTCACAGATGAATGACTGCGAGTGATGTAGGCCTGTGCTGTTACAATGTTCCGATCATTTTGCGAGTAAAGCGACAAAGAGGCCCTGTGCAAACGGAGAGTGAAATGCCGATTGGAATGCGGCCGCCAGTGTTTAAGCCCACAAGCTGCCTCCTCAGTTGCAATAACGCGCTGTGCCTCACGAATCTGGAACGCGTATTGCGTTCAAGCAGTCTCCTGCACCTTGCTCCATATTCTCCATCACTGAACCTAACTGAGAGCAATTGGAGCATCGTGAAGCATATGTGAAGCAAGCTATGAGACAGATATATTCCGAGATGCTCTGGGGTGATCCTGAGGGTGTACTCTGCAAGACCGAGTGGATAACGCGTTTCCTGGAGCGAATTATGTTAGAGGCAAGAGCCTGTGTGAGCCCTCGGCACTGCCAACACATGATAGCTCATGTGAGGAGGAATTATGCCCGTGCAATGCATTGTACTGATTTGTAAATCGCTCCTATTTTATTGACATAAATGTACATAATTCAGACTGTTGTTGTCACTGCTATACATTGCGAAGCCATTGTTTCAACATTCAGACATAAACGATGGTGTTCAGGCTAGGTGCTTTCGCAGATAGTTCTCGCATGTTTCCGCGTTATCTTTTGCGAGACAACCAGAGGGTATACGGATGATTCCTGGTAACCAGGCCAACATTGCTGCTAATGTTGAGAGGTCATGTGTTGTTACGTACTGTTGTGTCGCTAGTTCATGGAGGGGGAATGGTGCGTAGTTGGTATCACGAAGAGGACTATCGTGCGCAGAAAAGGAAGAGTCATTCTGTTGATCATTAGGTTCAGCATTATTGCGGGAATGTCGAAGTTGCATAGTGCCGTTGGCTACATCTCGCTGCTTGATGACAGGAACTGTGCGATACACTAAGACAACACATCGGATGTAAGCCACTGATCCATCTCAAGATGCGAAATAGTATTTGTCGCGTATTGTGAAGCATTTCAAATGCCTATGCGGTCGACTACGTTCGCTTCAGTGCCTAAGTTATTCCCATGTATGCGATGCGTCATGAGTAATCCGCTAACTGCTAGTGGTGCATCGTTCGACAGAACACGAACCACTCAAGCAACCAAAGTACTCGTCATCGCGATTGCTTACACATTAACCACCAAGACTTCACACTTATCACTCCAGTGTAAGTACTTGTTCGCAAGTGCAGGGCCTCATATTATCTTTGGGCTAGATGGTATGGGGTACTTCGTTCGGCTTACGGTGCATAGGTCTTTTGCTACATACACGCCTAAAGACAAGTATGTCGCAGTCGTATCGCGGCATTAGTCCTCACAGCAGAGTGCCGTCCATGGTGTTTCTCTCTCTTATCCATGTGTCTACCTGTCAACGCAGAGTTCAGTGGCGCGTTGCTCAGGCCACATTTGTCGCTTCTGTCACAGGCACGCTATAACAATTTGCACCCCAAACCCCGATCATTCGCGGTCATATACATGTGACTGTTTTGATATCAGGACGCACAGAACCTGCCGGAACGCTGGTAGGTCGTCCTAACAATGTCATCCCGGAACCTTCGTTTTCTGGTGTTCTTTTTTGGAGTTATAAGGGGGATTTCATGTGCAAAATTACGTTCTCGAATTTTGCGCTTCGTGCCGAAAATGTAAGTTATGGCGAGCGGTTAGTTGCAACTAAATGGATGTATACCAGTTATCATGCAAACATCTGCTAAATCACCAAGTCACACTCCATTTCATTGGTACGTTCACTACCTAATCTTTCTCTCTTCATTATGGACATCCTACGGGACAGGTCAAGCGTTATCTTTTTGACCTGTTATATACCATTGTATTGCCACCTGTGATTGTGGACTGCGTGTTCACAGACCGTTAGATAGGGATTTGCAGGTACAACTACCGTAACTAGGAATTGAAGTGTTGCTCGCCTATATACTGTGTCTGTCAAGTACGTTTGCTGGAGAACAGCCGTTGAAATGGCCACACAAGCTGCCAAGCATTTATGCATTGCTTTCCATGCGCAAACATACCACACATATGGGTACGGAATATGAATTCAGTTGATGCTTGTCAATTGCCCTTACTTTGGGTCTGCACCAGTCCGCCCATTCGTATTTGTGTGTACAGATCAGCCGATGTCAACTGCTGACAGCCCGGTCGCTGTATCTCATTTGATTCAGGGACCAGCAAGTCGGTGTATTTCATACACTATGAGGGTAAGCGACGCCTGCTGTAACA